ACTAACTAACTAAACTAACTAACTAACTAACTAACTAACTAACTAACTAACTCACTAACTAACTAGCTAACTAACTAACTAACTAACTAGACTAACACTAACTAACTACTACTAACTAACTAACTAACTAACTAACTAACTAACTAACTAACTAACTACTAACTACCACCTAACTAACTAACTAACTACTAACTAACTAACTAACTAACTAACTAACTAACTAACTAAACTAACTAACTAACTAACTAACTAACTAACTAACTACACTACTAAACTAACTACTAACTAACTACTAACGAACTAACTACTAACTAATAACTAATTACTAACTAACTAACTAATATTAACTAACTAACTAACTAACCATTTCTCCAGTCGGCAAACGGTTTTTTCAGAAATTGATTCATTCTGCCAAAAGTCAAATGTTTCGTTAACACTGATTTTTATAAACACACTAAGATTCTAATTAAACTTGTAATGGAATTGATAAAGTAGGAAATGATCACGAAATTGTCGTGCGCATTACTCTTTTGCCAAAAAATTATCTATTCTAGTAGAACTGCTTCTAGAGAAACTGGTACTAGTGGAACCTTTTGCATTATTGAAGTAATCCATGATATTTTTTTTTTTGGTCGTAAAAATAATCGATTCTAGTGGTAATGATTCTAGAGGAAGTGTTTCCAAAGGAACCTGTTAAAGAATTGAATTCACAAAATTATCCTATGTATAACATGAAACCGGTTGTATAACAATGAAATTTGACATAAGTCTTTTATGATCCAAAACTTCTCTACCAAATTTTATGTTGATAGGTTCATAATTAACCCTACCCCCCATATAAGGTCCCCTTCAAAAAATGACTTTAACGCTCATTACTGGCTTAAAAATACGAGTATAGTGATAAAATTTAACACACATATGTTTCATATGATCCAAAATCTCCCTACCTGATTTTATGTTGATCGGTCCCTACCCCCCATATAAGGTCCCCTTCAGAATGACTTTAACGCTCATTACTTTCTTAAAAATACGAGTATAGTGATGAAATTCGACACACATAAGTTTCAATGAAGCCAAAATCTATCTATCAAACTTTATGTGGATCGATCCATTATTGGCCCTACTTCCCATATAAGGTGTCCTTACTTAAAAGATCATTACTGGCTTAAAAATACAGAATACAGAAAAGCGATGAAATTCCACACACATATTTTTTATACGAGTTAAAACCTCTCTACCAAATGTATTGAGGATCGGTCCATAAGAAAATTACTTTAACGATCTTTGCTGACTTATGAACCAAAATTGGTCTATAAATTGGTCTCTCATATAAGGTCCTCTTCATTTAATTTGATGAGTAATATCACCCTGATGTTTATAGCGGAGTATTCCTTTTAAGGCATACGGTTTGATGGTGGGTATATGAGATTCGGCACAGCCGAATATAACACTCTCAATTGTTTGTTATAAAACGATTCCAGTAGAACCCCTTCGAAAGGAACCGTTTCTACTGAAACCTGTTGCAGAATTAATAAAGTGGTAATCTATGTTTAATCAAAGAATATTTAATACATAATATGTATGTGCGTCTCATACAAGAGAAATTTTCAATAAAGGATCGTAATACATAAAGAATACGTGTAAATCATAACAACCCGCACGTCGAGGTGCGCATTATTGTAATTAATATTCTTTGGTTTAATTCATTTGGTTGATGCAACGCCCGCTATTTATAGTTTAGCCATTTTTTCCAAATGTTCATATGGATTTCAACGCAATCCCCCCGCCAGCTTATTAGACAATTGTTTACGCGTATGTCAAAATTGTTCGTGCAAAATTTTATCATTCTAGCTCCAATAGTTTTTCCAATATACGTTTTTTTATTTAATTCATATAGGAGGGACCATGCCCTTGTAATCCGCCAATTTATTAGGGAAATACTTACATGGATGTAAAAAGTATTTGTGCAAAATTTGAGCATTTAAGCTCCAATAGTTTTCCCGGTATACGAATTTTTGTATTTAATACATATGGGAGCACCACGACCCCTCTTTCTAGTCCGCCCATATTTGTCTTAAATATTCTTATTGATATCAAAGTGGTTCGGACGAAATCTGAGCACTCCAAATTTTATCAGAAGACGCCTAAATTTTTCCAAGAAAAAGGGAGTCAATGCCTTTTTAAAAGTATAGAGTATCCAAGTTCATATCTTTCATTTCAACCAAAAAAGTTCATAGTCATGGCTCTATAGTTCTCCCCCATCAAGGGAAATGAAAATTTCTTCCCAAAATTCTTTTTGTTCGGACCCTAACGTGCTTTTAACAGATAGAATAACGAGCATGGCTAGATCATGTTAGAATGTATTAAAGGCCCAGAATACACATATATACCTTTGTGGGTCAAAGAATGACACTTGTTTTTATAAAAAAAATTCTGATTTTATATCAATAAATTTAAAATTTAGCTTGAAGAAAATATATATTCTAATCGTGTTTTGTTATACTATATGTGGAAAGGGTTGGACCGCTATTAAATTTTCAAAAATTGTATAAAAGTTGTTACCCTAATTATACCCTACACCACTATACTGGGGAGGGTATTATACGTTTGTGCTGATGTTTGTAACACAAAAAAATATTGGTCCTACACCCACCTTAAAGTATACCGATCGATTCAGAATCATTTTTTGAGTCGATTAATACATGTCCATCCGTCCGGCTGGCTGGCTGGCTGTAAATGTAAACATTGTGCGCAAGTTTTATATAAGTTTTATAAAAGTATAAATGACACTGCAGATTTTCGTAATGATCGGCCCTTATTTGACCCTAGCCCTAGTATAGGTCAAATATGGGCCGATCCTCATTAAATTTGGGAAAAGGATCTATTTTTAAATAACAGTTAGTTTTGTTTAGATTCATTGCGATACAAATGGTTACAAGTCAATTTTAAACGTTTAAAACATTTTTTGAAAGGGGGTTTGTATGGCCCTTTCAAAAAATGTTTTAAACGTTTAAAATTGACTTGTAACCATTTGTATCGCAATGAATCTAAACAAAACTAACTGTTATTTAAAAATAGATCCTTTTCCCAAATTTAATGAGGATCGGCCCATATTTGACCTATACTCCTATATAAAGCCTCATTTAGAAAATTTATTTTTTATCAATAAACTGCTTAAATACTTTGGAATTAACGTAAAATTCAACATAAAAGTTTCTTTATAAAAATAACAAGTAAGAAAGTATAGTCGGGCATGGCTGACTATATGATACCCTACACCAGTTATGAATATTAAATGCGATTTATTCTTCATAATAAAGTATTCTTCAATATTCCCTTGTTCCGATACATTTAAGCAATTTATGGATGAAAAACTAATTTTCTGAAAGAGGCTTTATATGGGGGCTAGGGACCAAGCCGGATAAAATTTTGTGAATATATTTATATTTACATAATATTTAATTGTGCTGAATTTCATCGCGATATTTGTGTTTATAAGTTCATTTTGGACATTCAAGTAATTTTCTGAAGGGGACTTTGTATGGGAGCTAGGGTCAAATGGGGCCCGATCTTTATGAAATTTGGCAGGGTCATCAAGACTTCTATAAAACTTAGTTGTGCCGTATTTTATCGATATATCTGTATATTTAACATAATTATGAGCTCAGAAGCCCTTTTCGGGGGGTTCTGTTCTATGGGGGCTAGGTGAAATAATGGACCGATTTTAACCACTTTCAATAGGCTTCGTCCTTGGATCAAATAAAACGTGCGTGCCAAATTTCATCCAATTATCTTGTACCTTGCGCACAAGGTTTACATGGGCAGCCAGCCAGACGGACGGACATAGCTTAATCGACTCAGAAAACGATTCTATACTTTAAGGTGGGTCTAGGACGAATATTTTTGCATGTAACAAGCATCAGCACAAATCCAATATGCCCTCCCCACTAAAGTGGTGTAGGGTATAAAAATTTTTAAAATATACTCATGGTGTCGCCCATGCCCGACTATACTTTCCTACTTATTTTTTCAAATACATATTATTTGCAAATTTCTTAATTTTTTTCTTTCTTTTATCTGTTATTTTAACCCACTGTGCGCTCTAGCATTTATAATGTAAATGTATATTCTTTGACATTTCTAAACTAATTTGGTAGTTCTATAACTCAATTCACTTTATGACCAAGAATGAGATATGTAATAAAATTTTGGTGTATTACTGTTAACTGCTTTCTTTCTTTACGGCTTCTATTCGAATGAAACAAAGTTACGTTGACCTTTGCCAAAGAAACTAAACAAAAGCGTTCAAACAAAAACTATAATAAACTTAAAACAATTAACAGATGTTAATTTGAATTAACAATTTATTCAACAAACGGAAATAGCAAACTGATTTGTTTAAATCAAATGAATTAAAATAATTTATTCGAAATTGCAAACAAAATTCAAACTTTTTTTATGACCCAAGTTGGTAATTGAATCAAACACGTGTCTTGGTTAATTAATATATTGTTTTATTTTTATTATATTGCACAGAAAAAAAAATTATTTACAAAAATTGTAATTTCGTTTTGCAAACAATAATACTTAGACCATTATGGATATTTTTTTAAATTTATTTGCAAAATGATATTAAAAACAAAAAGTTTCATTTATTTTTTAGGAGTGGGTGTTACAAATATATTATTAATAATTCTCACTATTATGCACGAATTTGTTCTCTTTTTATAACAAAAAAAAAATATATGTATAAATAAAACTTAAATTAATACATTGATCGTGAAAAAATAGGCACCAGAAGAAAAAAATCAAATAAAAATAATTCTAATGTCTAAAATTGGCAACACTTGTCACGCTGAGACGCCAACTTACAAACGACCCAGTAAGTGATCGTACAAATGGTTGGTAGTGAAACCGCCGCACCACACACTTGTTATTCAAATGACACCATCGATCCAAACAGTTGTTTCAAATTCAATTAGTTTCGTTGCTCTTTATTATTGTTGTTCTAGCCGCTTTCTTAACAACGAAAAAAACACATAAATATTTACATTTTTTTAAGTGGGGTTTTTATTGTTGTTGTTGTTTGCGGACTTGCGATCAATCTGGTAAACCTACACTGACGCGTTGAGTTGCCGAACTGCGAGCATTTCGTCTTTGTGTTGGATACTGCGGTGATGCTGATGATGATGTGGGCGACTGGGTCGCATCATTTGCTCCAATAATCAGCGTTTAAATATGCAGCACTAGCACCACCTCTCTTGTATATGACTATAAAATAAATATGAAAGTTTATCATTTTTGTATCACTTTGCTACTAAAAATTGCAGTCATATATATTCGTATTAATATAAAAATTGCAACTCGTGTTTGCAATTTCTAGTAGCAGGCAGACATAATTGCAGGCCAACACAAATATATTTTTGTGCTTTAGCAGCGCACACTCAAATTTGTTAAATTAATATGGCGAGTATTGATGTTATTTTTGTTTGCGTTTAGTTTTTCCTAGCAGCAATGTAACTTTTTAGTTTTGCTACTGCCAGTTGTAGTTTTATTTATTATTTTTTTGATATATATGTAAGTACACTGACAGTTTTATGACATTTCATGAGCTTAAATTCAGTATTTCACTTCACATTTGTACGCATGTATGTATGTATGTATGTATGTATGTATGTATGTATGTATGTATGTATGTATGTATGTATGTATGTATGTATGTATGTATGTATGTATGTATGTATGTATGTATGTATGTATGTATGTATGTATGTATGTATGTATGTATGTATGTATGTATGTATGTATGTATGTATGTATGTATGTATGTATGTATGTATTTATGTATGTATGTATGTATGTATAATACAGAAAATACTACCTTGATATTTGTTTGTTTTTTTCCTTAATGTATTACACAATAATATTAACTACATTTCTTCAAAAAAAAATTATATAATAATCTTCCACATTTTAACAGTGTGATTTGAATAATTTGTAAAGTAAGCTCATTAGAATTCAACGAAAAATATTTTAATTATGTGTGTTTACCCTGTTTTATACAAGGTGATTATAAATTTATTAATTTCTACAACAAAAAATATTTAAAACTATCATTTGGTTATAAAATTGTTATAAGTATAAGCATATTATCTTACAACTACATTGCTCAAAAATGTTTATTCATTAGAACAAAATAATAAAAACATCTAAAGAACGCTTTTAATTTGAGTTGTGTTTTATGGGGTAGCCATATTTTCAATAACATATACATATTTATTTAATTCATATAGAGGTTCCAAGCCCCCTAATAAAAGTCTGCTCATTTTTTCCCAATGTTCATAATGAAGTTAAAGTTTTTCGTCAAAATTAGAAGATTCTGACTCTAATAGTTTCCGAGAAAAACGATTTCTGTATTTAATTCATATGGGAGGTGCCACTATGTATATTTTACAAACTATTTTTTATGTTGCGAAAAATAATTATCCTTAATTAGAGATTGTGGTAACACTGGTATAACTGTTTATTCATAAAATAAAATATAAAAAAAAACAATAAATAAATTTGCAGCTAGCAGTTGCAAAACAAAATTTAATTGCTGCTAGGAAAAACTCAGCGCAAATAAAAATATCATCAATACTAGCCATATTAGTTTAACAGATGTGAGTGTGCGCTGCTATAGCACAAAAATATATTTTTTTCTTGTACAAAAACAAGAGATTAATACTGTTCATTCCTGCTGCTAGAGATTGCAGTGTAACGTCGCAATTTTTCTAGTTAAACATAAAAACAGAACGGCAATATTTAGTAGCAATGTTTTTTAAATCTGAAAAAGTTTAAATATTTTTAGTATGACTAGTGATAAAAATGTGTATTTTGCGGCAAATGCTGACTAATATATTAGTAAAAGTAAACACTGCCAATAATTTCTCCATTATTAAAACAAAGGCTGCTGCGCAAATGTTTTTGAGACTTTGTTGCACTCATTGATTCAGCATCGCTGGGTGGAGGAGATGTTGGTGCTGGTTGTGGTCTCTGTTGAATTTGATTATTTATTTTATTAATGGCTGAATTGTTGTTGTTAAATCTTTTGTTGGAATTATTGTTCTCATATGGCAAATCAACTTCATTGTCTTCTCGATCGTTATAGTCAAAACGCTGATGAGAACTTCCGCGAATAGTGGGTGTTTTAATTTGGTCATTGTGGCGATAATAATGCTGTTGTGGTTCGTCATCGTAATACTCCTCTGGTGGAAAATATTGTTTTCGTAGTGGTGGGGATTTTAAATGTACATTTCGCATTCTACTTCTTATTTCCTCTTCATGTTGGTATTCAAAATCTCTTTCCTCGGGGGTGTCATAATATTGTCTATTAACTCTTTTGGGTTCCTCTCTTTCTCTTCTGTAATACGAATTATCTTCTAAAATTTCATCTCTTTGTGAAAATCTACGATTTTCATATCGTTCTGGTGTTGCAGCATCTCTTCTATAGTCTCTTATTTCCTTGGGATTTTCATAATATGCTGGTTTACGTCTCTCATACGAGGGTTCTCTATAAATGTCCCTCTCGCTAGAATAACGTTGTAGATAATTATTAGTGGTTTTTGCCAAACCTCTCTTAGGACTTACGTTCATTCTGGGTTCAACCGATCGTCTGCTTTGTAAATAACGCTCTTCATTATTGAGAATCATATCTCTTTCCCTTTGATTATAATAATCGTTTGCAGGTCGTTCCACAGCACTAACTTCCCGATTATTAATTTTGCGTTGTTCTTTTTCTTCGCTTAAACTTCTGACATCACGTTTTACTTGTAATTTAGGACTGTTCTTTGTGTTCAATTCCATTTCTCGTTTATCATTCATATCCATTTTTGGTTTTCGCAAATTATTGCGATTATTTTGTGGTTCCTCTCTGTCGTTGACGTAATCGTAAAACTCTATTTTCGATGTATAGGCTTGTTTTTTCTTGGCAGTAGTATAGGCTTCATCCACTATACTTTCAGGCAGTTCCAGTTTTGTTTTAGTTGGCTTTTCAGTTATTTCCGTTCTCTTGTTGCCCACTGAATTTCTTTGCATTGGACGTCTTGAGTTTGAACGATTGTCATTCAAATTGTCGTAGAATTGTATAGAAGATTGCGAAAATTCCTTGCTAAATCTTTTCTTAGTATCCACATCAATATCAGCCACAGATGTTTGTTTTTCATACAAAGGTCTTTCAGTGTTTGCCAATTGTAGACTATTTCTCCGTTTGATGCGACTTTCAACAGCCGTGTCCACTTTAGTATCATCGGGCCAAAAGAAATGTGATTCCATACGATTACGACCACCAGTACCACCACGATCAATCATTTTGGGTGGTAAACCAGTAAAGAATTTTCCATTCAACATTTTTCTTCTGTACGTTTATAACTTTTCAACCCGTTTTAGTCAGCAACCAGCCTGGTTCGTTTGAAATATCAAGCTCAACTGAAATCAATACAATTTAGTTCTCATTCATTAATCGTGATTTCAGAAAAATGTCGTTGTGTTTTGTTGTTGACATTGTAGGCGTCTTAAGCAGCGATCTTTTCTTAGCAGCAACAACAGCAGCAGTTTGTTGTTTACAAACAGTGTCAAGTACAGTGGTACTAAAGTGCATTTTTTGTTTTGAAATCGAAAATAGCGGGAGATTCAGAGTAATCCGTGGTGATATGATACCGGAACATTTTTGTGATTGAACACACTATTCTATAGCATATAGGGATTTTTAAGCAGATCTACAATGTTCGCATGCCTCCTGGAAGTTCCACTTGCCAGTAATACTCAATCTGGCATTCGTCAACAGGTAGCCCGTTAAACATAGCAAACAACCCCTTGCAGGGAGTTGTTCTAAGAGCACCAGTTATAAGAAGAACTGATGATCTCATAACGTTCGTCAGAGAATACCTGTTGATGATTTTGTCAAGTTCATGCCACCATATATTATATAGCCATTTGACGTTATTGGATTATACCCAAGCGCATGCCAATAACCTTTCTATATTTAACCTCCTGGATAAATTTATATCAAGGATAACTCCTAAGTATTTTACGCTACACGACACCGCTAGAATCTCTGCGTTAAGAGAACTGGATTGTTTTGCATTTGCAAGGAACAATACAAGTTCCGTTTTTCCAGGATTTACATGACGACTACAGTTTATACTCAATGAGCTTAAGAGCTTCCTCTAAACTTTGAGATTAAGTCTCAAGGTGAATGCCAGTTACCACTACTGCAACATCGTCACCTACCCTATCTGAACGAGGGAATAGCAGATAAGTTCAGATTTCACATTGGTTATGTTATCTCTTTTTATACCCACAATCAAAAAAGATGGGGGGTATATTGATTTTGTCATTCCGTTTGTAACTCATCGAAATATTAGTCATAGACCCACAAAAGTATACACATTCTGGGTCCTCATTAAATTCTAAGACGATCTAGCAATGTCTGTCTGTTGAAAGCACGATAGAGTCCCAATGGAAAGAACTAGAGGGTTGAAATTTAACATAAACATTTCTTATAGGTAAGGTTTGTTTGGTATTGAAAATGGGCAATATCGGTCCACGTTTTCGGATAGCCCCAATACAAGTGGCCCCTCGAAAAGCAGCTTTAACAGCCATAACTTGTTTAAAAATACGAATATAGCGATGAATATAGCGACATAAGTAAGTTTCTTATGATCCAAAATCACTATGCAAAATTTTATGAGGATCGGTCCATAATTGACCCTACCCCCCATATAAGGTCCCCTTCAGAAAATGACTTTAACGCTCATTAATGGCTTAAAAATACGAGTGTAGCGATGAAATGCGACACAAATAAATTTAATACGAACCAAATTCTGTCTACCAAATTTTATGAGGATCGACCCATAATTGACCCTACCCCCCTATATAAGGTCCCCTTCAGAAAATTACTTTAACGCTTATAACTGGCCTAAAAAATACGAGTATATAGATGAAATTCGACATAAGTAAGTTTCATTCGAGTCAAACGAGCTTTGATGGTGGTTATATAAGATTCGGCATAGCCGAATATAACACTCTTACTTGTTATTATTGAACTTTTTCTCTCTTTTTGAACATCAATTAGCTTAGTCTATTAATATGATATTAAGAATAGAAAAGTTGCAGCCTTTGTTAAGCTGAATTTGTATAGAAAAGTCGGGGTCTAGTTCGCACTAGTTTCGATTGTTCTAAACTAAATCAGAACACTATACTTTATTTATCAGAATCAGGGAGCTGAACAACTGACTGGGACTGACAATTTTCTAAGAAGAAATCCTCAAAATTATATGTATAATCTCAAAACTTATAGATACAATTTTTTATCCGATAAAAAATTAACATTCATTAAAAAGTTAACAAAATGTCCAAAATATTTCAACAAAATTATTAAAAATATTTAATCATACGTATTACTACCACACATTGTCCCACTGTGTTTATATTTTAAATTTGATTTGCAATATTATGGTAAATGGTTAAAACAAGTCAGCAACAAAAAAATTAACTATAAAATATATGAGCGGCATTCAAGACAACATATAATTTATTCTTTATTTGTTTTTATTTTTTCGTATTTTTTCCACTTTTCGATTTGAGTTTTTCAATTTGGTTTGGGTTTTTGTATTGCGCGCCCCAACTTCAAGTTGCTTAATATGGTCAGTAGTACAATAATGTTGTTTTTGTTGACGCTGCTGACGAGCGTACTATGGCTTATTGCTGCTGTAAAACTTTTAAAACAAATTGTTGTTTTTCTTAAAATATTTTGTTATTTTCTTGGTTAAAATTCGTTTTAAAATTTAGTAAAGTTCATAAATTTGTTCAAACAAATACACATTTATGTAGATACAAAAGTATCTATGAATAGTACTTATTGTTGTAGTCGTAATAATAGTTAATAATGGTTGTTGTCTCATGTAATCCGATCCAAGTGCATAAGACGCGTAGACAACCTGTTATATTGAGCACAAAGTGTTGAAAGTTAATTGAGTCAAAAGAGATCTTGTAAGTTTTGATTGTACTCAAGATAACAGATTAACTAAACGGGTATAGCTATGTAGTTTAAGAATCTATATATATATACTATATATATATTTAAATGAATGAATACAAACAGTTTGTATGTTTGTATATTTAAAGTTTATAGATTACTTGAAATTTGAACAGTGTATCCCTGTATATCCGGAAGAGGTTATAGTATACTTTTTATTTCGAAATTTCAAGTGGGCGATTAGCCACGCCCTTATTAAAAAAATATTAAATCAGTAAATCTTAGATAATATAACAGTTAGAGTCCTCAAATTTTGTCGGAGCCACTTTAGAGTCAACATGATTATTTAGGATAAAAAGTAGGGGGACTAGCAGCAGAAGGCGTGGCACCTACACAAATTAGTTTATCTTGGAAACTATTACAACTAGAATCTTGAAATTTTGCACGAAAAACTTTAATATTCATCTGAACTTTTTGTAAAAAAAACAATTAGAACTTTCATCTGGAGGGGCTTGGAGCCCCCATATAAATTAAATACAAAAATTCGTATATCTGAGAAACTATTAGGGTTAGAATCTTCAAATTTTACATGAAGAACTTTGACATTCATCTGAACATTTAATAACGGGCGGACTTTCAATGGGGTGCTTGCCACCTCCCATATGAATTAAATACAAAATTTGGCTTATCTGGGAAACTCATATAACTAGATTCTTCAAATTTTGCACGAAGAACTTTAATATTCATCTGAACATTTAGGAAAAAGGCGGACTTTCATTTTGGTTCTTGGAGTCACCATACGAATTAAATAGAAAAATGTGTATATCTGAAAACTATAAGAGCTAGAATCTTCAAATTTTACATGAAGAACTTTGACATTCATGTGAACATTTAGATAACAACGGGCGGACTTTCAATTGGGGGCTTGGCACCTCCCATATGAATTAAATACAACTAAATAGATAGATAGATAGATAGATAGATAGATAGATAGATAGATAGATAGATAGATAGATAGATAGATAGATAGATAGATAGATAGATAGATAGATAGATAGATAGATAGATAGATAGATAGATAGATTAGATAGATAGATAGATAGATAGATAGATAGATAGATAGATAGATAGATAGCTAGATAGATAGAAGATCGATAGATAGATACTCGATCGCTATGCTAGCTAGCTCGCTCGCTCCTCGCTCGCTCGATGCTCGCTCGCTCGCTCTCTAGCTGCGCCTGGCTGTCTCGATCGATGCTCGCTCGCTCGCTCGCTAGCTAGCTCGCTCGCCGATAGCTCGCTCGCAGCTCGCTCGCTCGCTCGCTAGCTAGCTCGCATCGCTCGATCGCTAGTCGCTCGCTCGCCCGCTCGCTCTCTCTCTCGCTCCTCTCTCGCTCGCTCGCTCGCTCGCTCGCTCGTCGCTCGCTCTGCTCGCTCGCTCGATAGCTCGCTCCGCTCGCTCGGCTCGCTCGCTAGCTCGCTCGCTCCATCGCTCGCTCGCTCGTCGCTGCTGTCGTCTCTCATCGCTCGCTTCTCGCCAGCTAGCTAGCTCGCCTCTCTCGTCGCTCGCTCTCTCGCTCGCTCGCTCGCTCGCTCGCGCTCGCTCGCTCGCTCTCTCGCTCCGCTCGCTCGCTCGCTCGCTCGCTCGCTCGCTCGCTCGCTCGCTCGCTCGCTCGCTCGCTCTCTCTCGCTCCTCGCTCGCTCGCTCGCTCGCTCGCTCGCTCGCTCGCTGCTCGCTCGCTCGCTCGCTCGCTCGCTCGCTCGCTCGCTCTGTTGCGCTCCCCCTGGCTCCCCTCCCTTTTGTCTTGCTGCCCTCTTGGTCCTCCCCTCCCGCGCCCCTCTTCCGTCGCCCTGCGTTTTTCTCCCCCCCCTCTGCCCCCCCTTCCCCCTCCCCCTCTTTTTGTTTTTCTTCGTTTGGCCCTTTTTCTTGCCTCTTTTTCTTTGTTTTTTCCTTTCTCGTTTCCCTCTCTTCTTTTCCTTTTTCTTTCCCTCTTTCCTCTTACCTTTTCTTTTTTGTCGTTTTCCCCCTCCCTGGGGTTTTCTTTTTTTTCCCTTTTCCCTTTTGTAATGTACTTTTCATCTATCATTCTGAATTTCCAAATACACATTTAATTCATCTTACAAATACAATTATACATTCTATGTTAATAAATAATTATTATTAGTAATAATGTATTAAAATCAATTTTCGAATATAATTTCTCATATTTATTTAAGTTAGTTTTCTTTCCAATTTCTATTGTTTAAAAAAACGACAATTGGCGCTTTTCTTGGAGTGTTTTTCTATAGAACATAAAATATTAATTGAAATTAAAAAAATTAATAATCAATTAAAATTGCACATTATTTCATTATTATTTGTATTTTATTATTTTTAAGAGAAATTAAATTTTGTTTTAGTTTTAACACTTTTTTATCCGGATATGTAAATTTGTTTCATTTTTCAATTTTATTTATCTGATTTTAATCTAATATTTTTTTAAATATTTTACAGGTTTTCTTAGTTGGAGTTTTCATTTGTTAAAAGAAGCGTTACACTCAAATCTACATTTGAAGCAAATCAATGATAAAAAAATTAAGTTTTTGTTTTATTAATTTTTGTATTTTTTTGTTATTAAAATTCTATTACATTTCGAATTAATCGTTCAGTGATTTTAAGTTTCTCATTTTTCTGTTACTTGGTTTTTAATAATTATGGTCTATTTACAATTGTCTTGACATTTTTATGTTTTACAAAATTGCAATGTATGTAACATTTCAAATAATTGAAGTCATTTTGTGTTTGGAAATTAAAAAAAAAGTGTTGCATTTTAATTTAAATATTTCTTGTAGTTGGACGGACAAAGAAAGTAATTATTTTCCTGAATTATTTCGAGTGATCTATTTATTATAAATGTAATTAATTCATACTTCTGCTTCTATGTTTGTTTCTTTCTAGCTGATTGCGATCCTGGTCATCTCTCAAATTTTAAAGTGATCGGAGCAGAGGTTTGGAGGCAATTACAATGCGAACTATCGGACAAATTAAAAAAATTCACAGAAACCAACAGAAGTTATCATATTTTCTGACAACCAAAAGCTAATTAGGGCAATATAAGCTGATAAGGTGAAATCTAGGACCGTATTAGGCTGTAAGAGAGATATCACTTAATACTTTGCAGTAAACTCTGCATCACATGTACATTTTATTACACCATTTGTAAAACATCTGAGTCCATATTAAAATCTGGCTATGTCTGTCTGACATTCCTGACTGTTGACAGAAATCGTTAGGCCCAAACAGGAAGATCTGGAGATTTAAATATTTTCAAAAATATCCTTTATTTGTTTTGTATTGAATAAGTGAGATGTTGGTCCACGATTTGAGAGATTTCTGGATCCCCGGAATTTAGTTTAGTCTCCATATAAGATTAAAATACCAGTATAGTGATGAAATTTGACATTAATAAGTGCAATATTTCCTAAAGAATATCTATTTATATCTATATTCGACGAACATGATTTGTTCTAAGATTGAAATATAGCCCCCATATAAATCTCCCTTCCAAAAATCAAACTAATAATAAATAAGTAAAATGTGGTAATAAATTCTAAGAGGATCGATCTTTAATCACCATAGTTCACATAAAGGTAATTTTTAAACACCTGTTTTAATCAGATATAGATATATAAAGATTTCAATCACAGTTGTAATTCAGGTTTGAGTTGGGGAACAACTATCGCGTCATCGTTTTTCATATCTTAAGAACGGTCAGGCTTGTGCTTGTTGCCGAGCTTTCGAAAGAGCTACTTCTCACCCCGAACTAATTTAATGCATTACTTCCTAAACGCGTGCTTTCGTTTTACGTCAGAGCGAGGTAATGTTTTTAACTGGTTGAGACCATAAAATACTCACAATATAATCTGGTGGAGACCATTTAAACTCAAATATATACTGGTGGAGAACAAATAATACTTTTGATTTAACTAAGTTGGGTGTCTAACTTCCTATATGAAGGTATAGGTCGTTTGGTGGGGTTTCTCCGGACACACGTGTGATAACCTGGTAATATGAGAGCTTGATGCACCGCCATCCTAATTATAACCCGAAAAAAAATAGAAAAAAGCTTTCAATCATTCTTTTGACGACCTCTAATAAAGATCTTGTAACTGAAATTCAAATTCTGGCAAGACTTGGCTCTAAAAATAAAGATTAGAAAAGTTTTAATCAGAAACATATTAAAGGTTTTGCTATTTCCGTAAACATTTCGAGATTAGTCATCTCATTTGCAGTTCACTATTCATAAAATCAAAATATCGATAAACAATACTCACTTAATTCTCTTTTGGAATAAAAAAGTTTTAACAGTTCCAGGAACAATTGGATCTTTTTTTAACGATTTAACAAAATGAAATTGATTGAGAATTAAATCGAGAAGAATTTTACTATAAATGCTAATACAAGACTTCTTCATAAGAGAACACCGATATCGAGATTTTAAAGATCACTCTAAGATCAGGCCATTTATTTATCTAAAATCTGATTAGAGAACAAATAGCTTTTCCCATGAAATTTTAATAATTACATATTCTTAAGATATTATTGTCAACGCCAAAAAAACTTAAAAAATCATTAACAAAAACCCAAAAACAAGAAACCGCATGTTGCAACTCCTTATTTAATTTGAAAAATACGAAAACAGAAATGATGCAGAAAAGAAACACACAATTGAAAACAGTTTGCAACACAATTTAAAATCCAAACATTAACGATGAGTTTCAATTATTCACTATGTCACCAGCATTCGGTTGTATGGATGATGAAGACTGCATTAAAATAAAATTGGTTTTTCCCTCTTTATCGGTGGTTACTTGCAACAAATCAGGTTTTTCGCCAGTTGCCGATGACGTGATATCGCCCGTATGCGTGATGACACAATATTGATTCCCATTGTAGGTGACTATTGGCAAGCCACTCACAGTGGCCGTGGCTGTTGGTGCAGCAGATGCTGCCACTACATTTGCTGTTAACTGATGATGGTGCTGTTGTTGTTGTTGCTGCTGTTGATGGTGTTGCTGATCTGCAGTTGTAGTCGTTGTTATATTGAGGCCATTGATGTTGTTTAGTTGGGCCTGTACATAACTGGCAGCCGTAGGAGAATTTGCAATAAAGTTGGCAATCTAAACAAGGGAATGTTCATTAGTCTTTGAATTTTGATCAAATAAAAAAACTGAAAACAAAAGTGTTGCAAGTAAGAGTGTAATGGAAAAAATTACATAAGCGTTACGTTGGCGTGTTCTTAACTTTGAGTTTCCTGTAATTGTTTTAAAGTTTGCTTGTCTATTTGTTTGTGTTTATTTTTTAGTTTATTTTATTTTGTCATATTTACATCTTGATTATTGCTGTTGTTAGTGTGATTGTTGCCATCGTTATTATCATTTGTGGCTGTTGCTGCCATTGTGGCTGCAGCAGCAGCAGTTGTTGTTGTCGTACTAAATATGGCTGGTGGTTGTGTTAGTTTTTTTGGTGCTCTCTTAACCACATGTTGCTGTTGCGATTGTTGTTGTTGTTGCTGCTGTTGCTGTTGCTGTTGCACATTGATAAACATTTGATTTTGTATGATTATCTTTTCTTTACGCTGTGACATTTCATCCATGCTGCCATTATTGTTATTATTGTTGTTGTTGTTGATGTTCGTATTTGTTTCCATTTGATAGTTACGTTGATTTGTATTTGCAGCCATTTTGGCTGTTTTAACAATTTCCGTTGTTTCCTGTTCCTGATGTCAATACTGCAAAAGATACCAGTGAAAAATATTAACATCAGATTAAAAAATCATTTAAAATATAGATAATCACTTAATAATAAATTTTTATTTAAAACTTTTAAGAAACAATTGTCGTATGTATCTAATCATATGAAAGTGTCTTTCGAAAGGAAAAAGGTCTAGAATAATTATGTTAAGAAGTTACCAAAGTTATCTAATTTTTCACTATATCGTCGCCCCGGAATTATCTTCACGTATTCCCAAATATTTTTTGTGGAAATTGAATTTAAAGTTTCAATAATTAATATACACAAGTGGTTCCTTTTTTTGTGTGATGTAGTGCTTGATTTTGCTACTACGATTGGTGTTAAAATATTCAAAGTCGTGGATCAAGTTTTTCAAATGCATTTATCATAATAAAGAAGGATATTTCTAATTCCATTTAAATATTTTATATTTTTCAGCAAATTTTTCCAGCAAAACTAGAAATCCCAAAGAAGCGAAAAAGAAGTGGAATTTACTCTATGAAAGTACCTTAAAGACCTGCAGAAGTGATGATTTTAACACAGACTTGTCATAGGAGGGATGTCCTTTTTATTTGATTCCAAATTCACAACTTCTGAAGTTATTCTCAAGAAGTAATTATTTTATTTTTTGGAGTTTATTTGGAAGTAAAATTGTATCATTATAGAATACAATTAATTCGACTTAAATCATATAGGGAAATAGACACATTTAAAATAAAAGCCCAAAAATACAATTTTTTAACTCATAAAAATTAACACAAAATATGTATATCTTCAGCATTGATAATATATAATTATTTTTGCTTCTTCAGAAGTCATTAAACATCACTTCCACAGAAGCTAAAAAAATTCACTTAGTGCTACTTTGGAAGTGGTGATAAATGTTATTCTTTTCGAAGTACTTCGTTTTATTTTTGCCGGGTTATTTATGACAAAACCAACTAGAAGAATTCTATTAATGTTAACTGATAACGATATCAACAAAATATTCAAACATAATGAGGCAAATTATGAAAAAGTGATATTTCCATCTATATGTATATCATAAGATAAACTTAACACCTTAGCGAAATTTTGTAGATCTGATAAAGAATAATTGAAATTTAGTGCTATTCTGAACATATTCTAATTTTTTGCAATTCTTTAAAAAATGTTGATCCATGGTGACCAATTTAGAAACCGCCAACTGGTCGTGATACCACATTGAAAGCCGAACAACTGTAAATCAACTTCAAATCTCCTCAGCGTAAAATTTCACGATATACCGAAATATTTTCAAACTATACATACTACATTCCAGCTAACATTTTTTTTTTTTTTTAATTTTTGATCACATTCGAATCATTTATGATTCTTGTGCACGATTAAAATTATCATATATGCACTTATTTTCTTATCATAAATAATACTTTCGTTGGGAGAAAATAGCACTCTAACCGCGACTCTTCTAAAAGAGTCTTTCATGAGCCCCACTTCTGATTAGTTTTAACTCATTTTTTAATCTTTTTTGAGTCATTAATGAGTCGAATTATTGGTCGTTTTAGAGTATTTTTCTAATCATATTTTAGTAATTTTTGAGACTTTTCTGAGTAATTTTTATGTCAAACACAATAATACAGAAAAAAGTTTTTAATCTTCCGACTGCGCGAAAAATAATTACAAAATAAATTTATATACAATCATATTTCGATTGCTGTGCATTTTGTTATCAGATTTTAATCATTAATTTGAATTATTTAGACTTAGTTTAGTAATTGCTCACCCAACTATCTTCATAAATGATCGTTAAACATAAAAAATTATTGTAATTAAAGCATAATATAATTTCAATTTCCTTAACAGAAAATCTGCTCTATAAATATTACACAAACTCAAATACTTATACATTTTAAGAGAAAGTTACGGTACAGGGCCTAAATAACCCAGTACCGGCGGTAAGTGTTGATCCACTCGCGAGTCACGTGTCGTAGTCATCCAGGAATCATAAGCAAAAAACTACTACGGAGGTGGGTACCTTGGCCTCTGCGGCAGACAATGCGTCTAGTGTACAGCATGCCATTGGCAAACATATAGGGGTGAAAGAGATGGATGTACTCGGAGGGAGCTCTAAGCTACCTCAGCTAACTCAGATGATAATAACAACACCATCATAGCAAATCCCAAGAAGGATGAAGTAGAGCAAATGGTGAAAGAGGTAAGTGATAGCATAGCTAAACTACTTATTACTAAGAAAAGAGCACTGAGGAGGATATTGAAAAAGATGCTTCAGGATATCATAGTTAGTCAATCCCACGACACTCCAAAGGAAAAATCGGACTCTCTCACAAGATCTGAGACAAAGAGGATCAGGTCTCCCGAAGAGTTGACAACTAAGAATAAACCTAAGAAGAAAAAGAGCTCCCCGTTTTCTAATGCGCAATCGAAACCAAGCCACACAATCAAAGGAACTTCAAGTCAGAATACTGCGAGTAAGGTTGACAACGCCAAGCCAAATATTTCGAAGACGAACACGTCGGCGAAACCAACCTCGAAGGTAAAGGTATCTCAAAAGAAGTCCCAAAAAACTAGAAAGGAGCAGCTAGACGGTGAAAAAGGAAAAGAGCCGCCATCTTACGCCAAAGTTGCCAGAAGAAGAAACCGGGACGATCTCTGCTATGCAGTTTACGATGCCGGTAATCCGACAAGCAAAATTCCAATAGACCAGCACAGCAAGGTAGAAGATCTGGTGAACAATAAGATAGTGAACCACACGACAAAGTGGGGCTGGGGTTCTTTATTGAAGACCCAGAAACAGAAATATACCACCATTTACCAAATCATAACACAAGCTTCCAGGCAGAAGTACGAGCAATAACAGAATGCCTAAATGGGATTAGAATAAATATGGCACCCACAGCGACATCCAGAAGGCAAATAGGGCGATATCAGGTGATAGAACTAAATCTAAGATCGTATGGAATTGTAAGAAAACTTTAACTGAACACTCTCCCAGAGGTAAGGTTTACATCATATGGGTACCAGCCCACTCGGGAGTAGTCGGCAACGAAAGGGCGAATATAATAGCTTTAAGGGGATAGTAGCTCGTGGCAGTTAACCTGACAAACGCAAAACCATTCGACATTTCTCCGCTCACAGGCTAAAAATCAAAAATCCATCTATGTTAGGATTTGTCCTAGGTATTTTAATACATCTATGCCAAGTTTCAGCCCCTATCCCATCTGTGGGCTTCAAAAAGCATCATATATATAATTAAGGAAATTATGTTTATGATGTATGGCGGACCAAAATTAACCCTACCTCCCATACAAGTAACCATTCACGCTCATAACTGGCTTTGTATTAGCAGTATAGCGACGAAATTCAATATAAACAATTCAGAAAATTACACAAACAAAAATCTCTCTACTAAATTTTATATGGATCGATTGATAATTGAACCTTCCCCTCGTATAAGATCCCCTTAACACAAACGAGTTATAGGAAAATAATCTTACTACCAAATTTTGTGGCGATCGGTTCATAATTGATCCTACACCCATATAAGGTCCCCTCCAGAAAATTTTATTAGAATCCGTCCATAATTGACTCTATCCCTCATATAACGTTTAATACCATAATTTCCGACAAACGTTTATAATTTTAAGAAATTAGTAACTTTTTTTAATTCTGTAGAACTCGGTCCATAATTGACATTAAAGGCCCTATTATGAATCACTTTCAGGCCTATATTAATTTCGATACATAATAATAATAATAATAATAATAATAATAATAATAATAATAATAATAATAATAATAATAATAATAATAATAAACAAGTAGGAAAGTATAGTCGGGCATGGCCGACCATATGATACCCTACACCATGAGTATATTTTTTAAATTTTTATTTTTCATAAAGAAACTTTTATGTAGAATTTTACCTTAATTCCAACGTATTTAAGCAATTTATTGATAAAAAACAATATATAGGAGTATAGGGCCGATCCTCTTTAAATTTGGGAAAAGGATATATTTTTAAATAACAGTTAGTTTTGTTGAATTTCATCGCGATACGAAGTCAATTTTAGACGTTTAAGACATTTTTTGAAGGGGGGTTTGTATGGGGGCTAGGGTCAAATATGTTCCGATCATTACGAAAATATGCAGTGTCATTTATACTTATATAAAACTTATTTGTGCCAACTTTTAGAGAGATAATAGTATATTTGACGTAATTATGGCATAAAAAGCCCAAATCGGGAGGTACGGTTGTACTGGGTTGTACTAGGTGAAATAATGGACCGAACATGCTTGGTCCAAATTTCATCAAATTATCTTGAAAATTGCGGCCTCTACCTTGCGCACAAGGTTTACATGGACAGCCAGCCAGCCAACCGGACAGACGGACGGACATGTCTTAATCGACTCAAAAAATGATTCTGAATCGATCGGTATACTTTAAGGTGGGTGTAGGACGAATATTTTTATGTGTTACAAACATCTGCACAAACGTATAATACCCTCCCCACTATAGTGGTATAAATATACTATGAATAAACAGAAAAAAAACTGAGAACAGATGTAACAGATACAGTTTTTACGCATTTTGATCGAAATGTCAACAAACTTTTATTGTTTATGTCTATCGATTAGACAGAAAGGATAAAACGTATTTTGCCCACTTCCAATGTTGTTAATTAATTAAGAGAAAATATAAAAAATTTTATCCTTCTAGTACAGATCATATCATGACAGAATATTGCGTAACGAGAATAGTATAATGACCCAGAATATATGTATGTTTTTGGAAGTTACGACCAATATTCTAATGTCAAAAAAATAAGCAAAAGCATTAGTAGCCACTTTCATTTTCAAAAATTTCATGCCATATTCTGTACATAAACCTAACATACAAAATGGATATAAAGAATAATTTTAACTGAGAGAGTTGAAAGTTGGAAAACCTTTATAACTCTAATATGCCATAGTTATTTAGCATGGAAAATAATTTTATAAAATACACACCACCGACATTTTTCTCACCTCCAAATGGCTTTTGGCATGCAATGTCCACTCATCCCGATTGGAGAACATACGACCACACAGTTCACAAGTCCACGACAACTGCTGTTGGGCATGATGATGTGGTATAATAATACCCGGTATAGCTGTACTCTGGCCACCAGTATGCTGGGCACTCGTAGTCTGAACAATAATATTTTGAGTTGCTACTTGTACTGCTTGCTGTTGTAGTTGTAACTCAAGATTCTGTTTATTGTCTTCAGGTTCGGGTTCTTTTTTCTTCACTAGATTATTCAGACGTTTCCCAAGCGGTGCTATGTTTGTGGGCGTAACATGTTTGAACTTGTTCATATGTATGACTAATTTATCACGACGGGCGAAAGCTTTATTACACACCTGTTTGGAAAAGAATGAAGACAATTAATAAAATGCTGAAGGTTTCTCAATGGAATCTGCTATAAAATTATACTTCACAAATATAAGGCTTCTCTCCCGTATGGATACGCATGTGAATGGTTAGTTTATCTTTGCGGGCCAAACCTTTGCCGCACACGCTGCACTCAAATGCTTTATTGGTGGCTGAAATTGAGGAAAAAGATATGAGAGATCATGTTCATTAAAATCTAATACATATTTTAATATTAACTCACGTTTTGAAGGATTAGTTTTGCGTACACCCGACGAAGCCTGCTGAACTTGTTGTAAAGCTTTTAGGCGACTGGCTGGATGCATGGAACCACCCTCGACATAGGGCTCGGTAAATGGTATCAAATTCGGTTTCGGTATATTGTACGTTATATTGTCCGACGACCAAGTGCCCAAACTTTGTAGCACTCGAACGCCGCCCTCAAATCCCATGCCTACATCGTCCGGAACGGTGAAAGTACTTTCGTTGCCGGCTGAACTAGAGGAACTTATTTGTGGCACTTTTATGGTGCTGGCATAATGTTGTTGTTGCTGCTGCTGTTGTTGTTGTTGCTGCTGCTGTTGTAATTGTTGATTTGTGTTATTGTTATTATTACTACTATTGTTATTGTTGCTATTTGGTGAATTTTGTTGTTGTTGCTGCTGCTGTTGTTGTTGTGTTTGATTATTATTGGACGTTTGCTGTTGTTGTTGTTGCTGCTGTTGTTGTTGCTGCTGTTGTTGTTGCTTAAATTGTATAGCCGCCTGTGCCATTTGTTGTTGTACTGCCATGTGTGCCTCGAGATACGCATTCTTTTGGGCCACCGTCATTTTATCCATATTCACTGTGCCGTCCTTTAAATAAAAGTGAAACGGAAAAAATATAAATAATTGAAAACTACAATACAAATCTATTGTAAATGTAAACAAACTTTTAAAACCAAAAAAAGTAAGAACAAGACGATTACTCTTATGGACCCATATCAACCCCAGTTAAATGTTGTAGAATTTTTTTGTTTGTTTGTTTCATTCCGCTCTCATTCATACATTTCCGTTTTTCCTTTCGTTTATTTTCCTGGAACGTTGTGGTATGAAAAAAACAGTTTTATTCCTTTCATGAGAATAACATTTACCGCTAAATTACAAATTTCTTTCATTGAAATTCCTGTAGAGAGCGAGAGAATGCGTGGCTTTTGTTTAATTTTAAGCGGCAAATGTTTCATTCAATTTCTTACAACGCTCTCATTGACTTTCTCACACATTTGAAACATTTTTAGTCCTTTTTGCGAAAATTGTTGGTCCTTGTTTAAAATTGTCCTTTACGCGCAAATTCTTGAAACATTTTTGCAAATACAAAATTTTACTTTTCTTTTTTTATTGTATAAAAAAACACATGTGTGCGTTTGTGTCTGTGCTGTGTCTTTGAAAGTGTATGTGCCGGTTTCAATGTGCATGGTTTGAGGTTCAAGTGTGTATTTTATGGCGAATTAGTCACAGTGGAATGGAAAGTCAAAATGTCATAAAATATACGAAAAAAGATAAAGTTGAAAGAATGAAATATTTTGATTCTTTACTTAAAACATAAATGATCTATTATACAGTGGGCAAATTGCAACAAAGATACATACTAATTAATATAAAATGTATTAATTTCAATTTTAGAAAAAGCACCAGATTATAATGCTTTGGCCCATAATCAACGATATATGGTTAAACACGATAGTAAAATTAAACTAATTAGTGTCATAATGAGCGATATCTCGGAAACTATTAAGCCGATTTCAGTTATTTGTGTTCAGCATGTCCAAATTAGTAAGAAAACTTGTTTTGCAATATAAAATTATCCAAAGGGATAGAGTTTAAAGCAATTTTTGGAATAGATAGAGAGTTTTGAGTTTTTTTATGCAAATTACAGATAGCGACTATTGAATATATATATATTCCCTCGTTATGTTGAAAAATATGATGTTATAATGATGTCTATAAAAACCTAGTAATTCAAAGTAATTCATTACATATTCAATTACAATTACTAGTAATGTGTAATTGAGCAATAACCAATTGCAATTACTTGTAATTTCGAAATTTTTATTTCGAAATTTTTCAATTACATTTATAAATAATTTTAATTGGCAAAACTTTAATTAATTGTAATTTAAAATGTAATCGTTACTTCCCAAGCCTGCTATGATCGCTAAAGGTTTGGCAATGGTTACCTTGCCGCATTATCTGCATTCGTCAAATCCCGCTCGTCCATTTAGCGTAGTTCTGTGTGTGAAATCAAGATACATACTAACAGTCTTATTCCCACTAATTTCAAATTTTTTAATTTCCTAAGTCCCTCAAGTTATTTGCCATTAATAGACCATAATACTAGAAGACAGTTGTAATACAAGACTATGTCGGGGATCAACTCCAGCGTCACAGTAGAATACTCAGGCTTTGTACTGGTGGGGAACTTTTAATAATTAAGTACCATAAAAAATTATCTTAGTGTTCGAAGTTTCCAACCTCCTTTAGGAAGAATGGGGGATTTTCCTTGAATCACCGTAGGATACCATTAATCTTAAAATAAAAAACACTAGAAGAAAATTCGTTTATTCTTACAGTGTACTGCAGATTTAACATTGTAATCAGATAACGCCTTTATTGCCCTTCCACCTGGAAGCTAGTGTTGAGACCAGGAAAACGTAATCTGGGTTTTCGTGTAGCTGCAGGTCTAAGTTTTAGATCTAATGGTACACTTAACAGTGACAGTCCATCTGGAAGCCCTACACCTGGAGGCAAGTGTTGTGATCTAGAAAGCGTGATCTGGGTTTATGGATCCCCATACTTTTGTTATTTCCCCGCTTAGAGCCATTCGTGTAGCTGCAGAAGTACTTTCTTTAATATGTTTGTATACAATCTTCCAATCGGTACACACTGATGACGCATCATATATCCGCGTTCTATTTATTCGCCTAGAGATATCAGTCAATCGACTACACCACCTTATGTCTTCGTCCAATGAAGTCCGGATAAATGATAACACCTATACTTGGTCGGCTTAGTGTTTATGGCCCCACTTATATTCAAGCAAAACCACTCCCTGTAGTGGTATTATGTTACACTTTTCGTCCAATGAAGTTTACCAGATTATAAAAACGTAAGTTAAAATCGTTCTAATTACCTTTTAGTTTCTGATAAATGACAACGCCTAGGTATTTAAGCCTGTCGATCACTGATATGGTCCCTATCATGAACCGGGCTCAGTATAGTCTTTTATCTTTCTTTTGAAAAGTCATATTTCTGTCTTCGCTGCATTGACATTCAGCTCTCTTTGTTAAACCCAACCGAAATCCCTAAATATTGTGTATCGCAAAACACCCTACAACAAAAGAGTATTCAAACTTTGGCCCAACATAAATATAAATATCCTATATCTGGACCCAATATGTATCTTTTGGAACATGGGTTAGAAAGTCGTTTTACATTTTTCAGAATTCACTCATGAATCTTTCACTCTATCAAATTCTCTATAAGGCTATTTTCCAAAATTTTTTTAATTATCGATGTCAAATAACTTCTTAAAAAGGAACTGTAAATCGTATCTTATTTGAATGACGTTTTTTAAACACATGTATGTAATTCACCATGAAAATATTACTAGACATTCTACTGTGCATTATTTTAAAGAACAAAAAAATCTTCATTTGAATCATTTTGTACTGGTATAAAAAACGTCATAATTTTTCTTATTAACAATTAACATTGCGTGATTGTCTTATTATTTCTAGATACAACATTGTTAAAAATATATTTGTTTAAAATAAAATTGGAAGTTTTTTTAACAAGGTATTAGCAATTCTTTTAAATAATTTATTTTTACCACTATATCCTTAAAGTAATAATCCACTGTAGACATTTAAAGATACATTGTTTAACATTTATTATATATTTGAAAATGGGTACTTTCAATCAGTTTAAGTATTTTCAGTTCTTTTGGAATTATTTATTTTATTAAATATTTTCTATTTATACACAGTCTTAAAAAGAGTCTTTCGATGATATTTGTATTATTTTTTCGCTTTCTTTATATTCAATTTACACACACTTTTAATCGATTTTTCGCGCTGTATTAAACATTTTATATTAAGCATTCAAATACACTCGCACACAAACACTTACAAACACACGCACATCCACAGACATTTACTGTATGAAAAAATTGAATGGTGTAATCTAGGAACGATTTCTATATGATATAATCCATTATATATATTATATATATACTTGATGTTGTTAAAGAACGATTTAAGTTATCGATAAACTCATGACTTTTTTTAAGTTTATTATTTTAGTAGGAGTTATTAAATAATAATTTGTGTTGTAATAGAAATCCCTTTTTTAATTAATTTTTTATTGTTAGACTTTATTTTTACTCTTTAAATGCACCGCAAAGTATGCTACGTTTGAAAATTTTCAGCACCTTTTGTTTGTGTATGTATTGCGAAACTGATTTGCTACTCATATCGTTTCGTCTGTCTGTCGTTAGTCAGACGACGATGTTGCTTTTTTCTATTCTATCGTTTTGTTGTTGCTTTTGTTGTATTTCGTTTTTATTGTATTACAACAACAGCAACATTACCAGCACAACAATAATCGCAAATAACAACAGCAACAAAAACAAATAATATTTTAACGAATCTGGGAAGTTACACGGAATTATGTTTATAAAATGTACTTTTGTTGACTCTTATTGTACCAACTTTGTAACTGATTAACATTAAATTTTTTTTTATTGCATGTTAAAGGTAGTTTTTTATATGTCCATGAAAGTTATAGGATCTTATTCAAAGGGACACGATTGATGGGCCAGAGTTAACCTACTCCTCGAATGCAGTTTTCAAGAAAGGCTAGTACATTTTCTTTGACGATGATCTTGGCACTTTTAATTAATCTTACTAATTGCGAGTTCGCCAATTAGCGCTCGCAAGAATTTTACCCTCAGCTTGACTACGGTCGAACATGATGATAATGTACGGTCGAACATTCTCTGTTTGGATGGATGGACAGTAATATTCAGCATTTCTTCCACATAATTCCGTATGCGATGGTACCTCAAAGACGCCGGATCTCTAAAACGTGCTTCATCATATAACAAAGAGAGCGCTTGTAGTTCGCCAGTGTTTTCCATTCCCTCTTCAGATAGTTTTCAAAGCTCGATTAGTTTTTCCTATATTTAGCGATCTAGGAGTTATGAACGACTCCATGTTGATCTCTTAAAGTTTTGATCTTTGCATACCTAATACAGTAACAGTTTCGACTACCAAACCCTGGGAATCCCTCTTGTTAGTCGTGGTCACAACAGATTTAGTGGAACTACCACTCCTCTGGAATCAGACGCAGGCCCGGATGGCGCTCAATAAGTGGAAAACGCATCATGGATTTGTAATAGGTACCTCCAAAACTGTGATGCCGTCCAATAAGAGTTATTCGCATACCAAACCGAAAGCACACCATCTAACTGCCTTTAACAGGGGTTTTTGAGGCAAAGTAGCCGCCCTTGACATAGGGAACAGGCGCTGCCAAGTCAGGATTTCATTAAAGAAATCAGGCCTAATATGTAGATAAATGTTTTCCGAACACACTCATGAAATTCTGAAATCGAAGTTCCTTAGTGAAACTCCTAATAATTTTGATTGAAACCGAAATCGCAGTAAAGGTATTTTCAGACTACAATACTGAGTATTAACACACTTCAAATTAAAAATATTATGAAAATAATTCGCATTTTCAAAAAATCAATCCGAAAAATACATTTTATGTTTACACTATAACATTTGTAATATTTTTTATCCAATTTTCAATTATTTATGCACTTTTCGTTCTTATTTTTAATGTATTTTACACTTACATACCGAATACGTTTGAAAATAAAAAGTTTTTGAATTGTTTTAAAAAATTTATGAACACTGACCGTATGCCAAAAAAATAAGTAATATTTTTGAAAATCAAATTACAAATTATATTTAGACTAGTAAATTGTATTATGATACAAATATTCTTGACAAGTATTAATACTCAGTATTGTAGTCTGAAAATACCTTAAGGGAATGTTGGTTTAAAGACTAATGCATGATTAAATTAATTCCAAATGAATGTATAGGATGAAAGGTCTGAGTGGAAGTTTTGAATTGTGATATATGTTCAGTATTCTTGTCCTTGTGTTATCGATAAAGTTGCCTTTTTTTGTTCGAGTATGTTTAGAGGTTTACTCTGTTCATACCTGACCCATCACAGTGAGTTCCCTGCTGTAAGAAAGCGATATATTGGCATATTTAAATAGTACCAAAAAACGTACAATTGCGGCATTTCTGGCATGAATTGTATATGTTTTAATTTCAACTGCGCTTGATTTTTATTTTACATTTGAGAAATTAATATCAGTTAGTTTGTATGTCTGTAATTGTATAACAGGGGGTTCTTTTTTGTTATTGCCAGAGTCCCCAAGTAAAAAACGACTAAACGGCGTCGACAAACTGTATGTGCTCTTGTTGTTTTTGTTGTGTCGGACTGCGTACACAATTGTATTGAATTTATATTTGATTTGTTGATGGGGGTGTTCCAATTCTATTCATACACTTTCTCTCTAACAAACACTCACTCACACGCACTAATATAACCTGCTGGCATTGGAATTTTGTGAAGGATGGAACAAATGAGAATGAAACATTACAGAACACTCGTGCCCATACCCTTGTTGGATGCCAAACATAAATCGTAGTGTGGTAGTACTTTGTGTAACTTCGGCATTCAGACACACAGATACTAGGTAGTTATACACGGTGGAACTTTATAATGGTTATTTCTTGTCAACATTTATTAAAGTTTATAAAAACGTTAAATATATTTTAAAATTTTTCGAATATTTGATCAAATTTAATAAAACTATTTTAATAACGTTGTCTTGCATATAAAGTTTATAATCCGTTTGCATTAGAATATACTTACAAGGTGTTCCATTATTCATACACTTCACAAATTTCATTTAATTAATTAAAGTGAAAGCACATTTGCTATTTTTTACATATTTTTAATTTTTTTAAATTAAATTTTAATTCATATGAAAACAAATTTAAATTTTATAACACAAACGCTATCCCACTGTTTATTCTCACACACTCATGTCTACTTGATGTACCCGCATATGCGTGAGCACAACAAATTAAATCGGAAATAAAAAATGTTAGCAATTAAGAAAAACTCGAGAGGCCATCAAGCGAGAAAGTCCTTTCAATTTTGTTGTCATTTGTGTACTAAAAGTAAAGTCATTTTAAATTGGAGTAGTTTTCTTCATTGTTGTTTTTAACTTTTGTTTCAGGATTAAATAAAATACTCTCACTTAGAGCATATCTTTGTTTTTATGAAATGAATGAAATGTCAAAGTACATACAATGTTTGTAAACAAAGCAAATAAGGTGAAACAATGTGAAATAGAAACATTAAAAGGTATATAGTTTAATGTCAAAGATTTATGGGCATGTCATTAAGTAAACAACTGGCACTTGAGATCAATCACTATTCAAACGTTTAAGATGAAAATGTCATAATATCCTTCGATATAAATTTATATATAAAAATTATTAAAATATCACATAAGGTTTTTAGGCATTCAAGAACTATGGATTATATCTTTTCTTAGAAAGTGTACCTCATAAAATTCAGCAAAAGCACGCCAACTTAATTCAAATAACCGTGAATATCGGTTCAAAAGTATTCTGCATTCAATAATGCTTATTCTTATTTTTTTTTAATGAATTGGCATCAATATATAGGTCATTATACATAATTTGTTCGTCATTAAAAAAGTTGCATTAATTTATTTAAAATAATAACTGACATACCTCAAAATTTATAGTTGCTGTAACGGCTCTCATCGATTCGGCATAATTTCGTAGAATATGTTCGTTTTGTAAGCTTGACTGACGCCACTCGTACAAACCCTCCACCTTTTGGACACAATTTTCACAAATATTTTTGGGCAGAAAATCCTCTTTAGCAATCTGTAAACAAAAACAGTTATAAGAATAAAATGTGATTTATCATTCATAATAATTTTTAAACGAATTGTGGACATTTAAGTCATTTTGTGATGGGGGCTAGGGTCAAATGAGGCCCGATCATTACAAAATGTCTTATCGATATACGAGTATATTAAACGTAAATATGAGCTAAAAAGCCCAAATCGTAGGTTCCGGTTGTATGGAGGCTATTTAAAATATTGAACCGATTTGAACCAAAATCAATATGATTCGTCCTTGGTCCAAAAGCATTACTCGTACCAAATTCATTGAATTTTCTTTAAAATCTAGGCCTGTACTTTGATTACTTAGTTTACATGAACGGACGAAGGGCAGACGGACGGACATAGCTTAATCGACTCAGAAAATGATTCTATGACCAATATTTTTTTTGCAGTACAAACCAGTGATGCCAAGTGTAGGGATTTTTCCCTTTTTGTAGGGATTTTTTTCAAAAATTTCACGTGTAGGGAAAAAGGGAAAGATTTCTTACTATTGTCAAGTTGTAGGGATTTTTTCAATTTCATAGTTTTTATCAACTAAAAATATACTCTTTCATGTATTAAACTTTAAAATTAAAAATGAAATCAATTTTAAGTGTATCGTTAGTAAAAATTCCGCTTGTAATTTCTACAATATGTGTACCTACATATCGCTTTAAGCCTGGCATAATCCAAAATTCGGGTTTCTTGAACTGAGGTCTACAAAACATGCGACATACTAAAATCTTTCATATAGATTTATCAAATTTCTAATATGTCTATTATTTTCGATGTGAAAACGATTTTTTGTAAACGTAAAAACTAAAACCCACGTTTTCGTGAATATTAGACAACTAAAAATTGAATTTCAATTTAGATGAGAAACATATTAACCTCAACTATCTGAATTTGGATTTTTAAAATCCCTTAATTTGTTTAAAAGTTATCAAAGAAAATAGTTAAATGTCATTAAATATTCATATCCATTTTTCTTGAAACTACTTTTTTGGATTATGCCAATCCTGTAGGGCGATATATTCTGACTCCTTATAGATAGAGTAGTCGGGGGCTTAATGCAGTAACTCAGGATTGAAAAAAATAATTTCATGTTCTGAGAATTTATAAAAGTAAACCGCAAAAAGTAAACGCAAAAGTAAACCTTATTTAAAATAATTATATTAAATTTTATGAAATTTTTTTGTTGGGAGCACATAAAATACATTTATAACATCCAATCGTGATACTGCTATAAATCTCTCAATTGTCTTGTTTTTTTTCTAATCTTAACTGATGAGTCAGGGTTGGAAGATTTGTATGATGTAAAATTGAAAGTAAAAAATTTAAAATTTAAATTCTAGAATATATATATATATATATATATATATATATATATATATATATATATATATATATATATATATATATATATATATATATGTATATTATAAAACAGCTAATATTTTAGTTTTTTATGTTATTTTTGTATTTTTTTAATAAACTTGGAAAAAAATTTTAAAAAGTAGTGTAGGGAAAAATGTAGGGAAAATAAAAAGTGGGTGTAGGGAAAAAAGGGATTTTTTCTCATAAGCGTAGGGATTTCTGAAAAAATTCTCCTGGCATCACTGGTACAAACGTATAATGCCCTCCCCACTATAGTGGTGTAGGGTATAAAAATTGGGCCATAAGTGGTCCTAGTACCCTAATAACTGACTTAAAAATACCGTATATTTGTTGAAATAAAGATGGAAGCCTCCGATATTTTCTAAATCCAAATCTTAGACTATTCCATCAAACATGTTTTCGAAAAATTTTCTTTTTAAAACCAACAAAATTTATATATGTATGTAGAAGATAAGATGACAATTACGGAAAAAGCAATGAATATCTCTATATTTTATATCTCTTGGATTGTGTGTTTTTTGTAATGATTTCGGAGACCTTTCATTTGATATAAATATTGTCTAAGAAATGATGTACAAATGCTCAAGAATTTAAAAATTAACGTTTATTGCAAGAATCATTGATCGACAAAATATCAACAACTTTCTTTTCAATGACTACTACTACCGTACCGTCTGCATTACTATTAAGTACACTTATAATGACTTACATAAATATAATCAGAAACGTCCATTGTCATCGCCCTGTTAAATGACTTAAATTGCCAATGAATAAGTAAGAGATAATGGTTTTATTAGCTTTTTAATTTATGACTTTTAAATGTTGGTTTTTCCTGTAGAGGCAACCTACCGAGAGAATATACCACCCGAATCTTTACAGGTGGTTCTAAAATTAACCGCGGTATTGGTTCTCGTGTCTTCTATGAAGAAGTTGTGGTAAGTATATACCACCGTCTTCCCAACAACTGTAGTGTCTTTCAGGCTGAAATATTATTGATAGCAGTAATAACAGGACACTGAGTAATTGGCAGACATGCAAGTCGACTTGGGCTCCCTTTCAATGATCACTGTCGCAGGGAAAAGGAAGAAACGGTCTTCCAATTCCTCTATGAATTCGATTCTACTTGACAGTTCGCGGGTAGTGAACTACCTACCACGATAACCAACCAAGGTTTTTCCTGGGTAAGTACATTATTTTGTATTTTGTTATAGTATATTTTTAGTATTTTGTTATAGAACTTTGAATAAAATTTAATATATTCCAAAAATATTAAAAAGTTAAAACCCTAATATATAATATCACGTTACATTTTGTAAAACAGTGTAATTAATAACATAATTAAATATTGATAATCTTCATAATCACTTACATTAACCGGCATTAGAGAACGTAATTTGTAGATAAGATTACGTTGTTCAGCTTCCTTTTCGAACAAATGAATTTTGGTGGGACCATTACGTATCGAACATAGACGGCATAATTCGGCAAATGAAGTGAAATTTAAATTTGCATCACAATGATGGGTGTTGAGATTGAGAAGGTGTGTTAAAGATTGTGTATTGTTGGTCTGTTGTTGTGATTGTTGCTGCTGCTGTTGTTGATGATGGTGTTGTTGCTGTTGAGTTTGATGTTGCTGCTGCTGTTGTGTCTGATGTTGCTGCTGTTGTTGTGTATGATGCTGCTGCTGTTGTTGTTGATGCTGTTGATTACCGGTATTCAACATAACTAATTCGTTTATTTTTAAATTTTGATTTCAAAATTTATTACACTATTTTTCCGGCATTGACTAACGTTTAAAACTTGTTGTTTAATTGTTATAAAAAAAATTTAACTAGTTTTGAATCACAGTCTTTTTGATTTTGTTTTGTTTTGGTTTTTAATTTGTTTAATTTAAGATTTACAAAGTTTTTGTTTAAATTATTACATGGACTTTCATTGATTTAGTTTCATAATAAATTGAATTATATCACAATATTTTTCTAACTGAAATTTTAAAGAAAAAGTAGGAAGTTTCAAATTAATATGAAAAGTTAAATACTAAATTCAACAGGAAACGTAATTATTATTTAAGAAAACATAAATAAATATTTTATACATGCAATCGTTTAATTTTCAATTTCAATAATAACTTGCCAAAAATCTATATTTTGTGGTCAAATTGAAGATATTTTTAAAATTTGTTGAATTTTGTTTTTATAGGTATAAGTTCCGGTATTTAAATTTTATTTAGTTATGTTCATATTCACATTAATGTCTTAATTATGAAATGTATTGAACTAATTTCCTTTCAACGTTCCTTTTAAAAACAAAGGGAAAAATTCCTTATAGAGGAAACGAAAAATTAATTAACTTTAAAATATATTTCAATTAAAAGTTCATTAACATTATTCAATTCAATTGACAAACAAATAAGAGCTCATAAATAGTAAATAGACAAATAATGAGTTTACAATAGTGCTTTCAAATATTCTCACACTTAAAGAGAGAAAGAACAAGTGTAAATAATAAACATTCGTCAAAATAATAACAACAACATCGTAAACAATTGCATTATTCGGGGTTAGAGAAGAAACAAATTTTGGAATACATATTGTCAACAGTGTTGCCATAATAACTATTATACATATTTATACATATGTTCCCATTTAAGGTGAAATAGGAAAATTACAATAGTCAACCGTATTTATGCCCTACACCACTTTAGTGAGGAGTGTAGTATTGGATTTGTGCTAATGTTTGTAACACACAATACTATTGATCCTATACCCACACAGAGGGGAACTTGACACTTGGTACGAACTTGACACACATTTTTTCAATAACATCCATTGTCAAGTATATACATACATACATACAACAACATGTAATGTAGACCACGCAACTTTGTCAACATTGCAACAAATCGTTGTCGCAATCTAAACTTTATGCACATCCGTTGTCTTAAAGTTAACAAACGTGGTAAGCTCAAAATGCGTTGCCAATAGTGAGCTTGCCACGTTTGTTAACATTTAGACAACGTATGTGCATAAAGTTTAGACTGTGACAACGAATTGTTGCAATGTTGACAAAGTTGCATGTTGTTGTTGTATGTATGTATATACTTGACAATGGATGTTATTGAACAATTTGGTGTTAATTTGATACCAGGCGTGTATATTTATTTTTCCCTCTGTGCACCTTTAAGTATCGGCTTAGAGTCATTTTCTGAGTGTATCATTTTCTGAGTGTCCGTTGCAAAACTTGATATGGTTAATATCGACCGATTATTTCACCTAGCCCCTATACAACTGATCTTCCAAATAGGGCTTTTGTGCTCATAATTATATTTAATATACTCTAACTAGCCTTGATGACCTTGATGATTTTTATAATGATCGGGCCTCGTGTGACCTTAGCACCCAAACAAAGCGCCCTTAAGAAAATTACATAAAAAGACTAATGTCGTTATCCATCTACCAAATTTTATTAATTAATTCCATATTTCCCCCAACCCACATACATATAAATCCTTTTTCAAAATAATAGTTTTTCAACAATAAATTGCGTTAATATATTGAAGATATGGTACAATTTAACTTAAATGCTTTATTATAAAACAGTAAAACACATTTTATTCTCCAAAGTGGTGTAGGGTATTACATGGCCTTGCCCGACTATAATTTCTTAATTGATTTATAACATGACTTTTTGATGTGTAATTCTGTTTTGATTATTTTTAATCCAGTATTTGTGTAATATGGTAAAAGTTCATTTTCGGTATTAACACACCACACATTTAAGTCTAAATGTATGGATTTTTATATCTTATACCACTATATTGGGGACAGTATTATAAGTTTGCGCTGATGATCATTATAACGCTATAAAATATTCGACCAGCATACATTTTAAAAAATACCGATCAACTCAAAATCACTTGGTTGGCCAAGGCCCCCATATAAAATCTTCTTCTGGAAACGACTTAATAGTCATGAAATCGATTAAGTTTTCCACCAAAAGGAGAGCACAAAAGAACCGACAGTGGACAGTGATTTAAAGGCCTAATTTATACCCTAATATAATAAGACTAGTCCCTAAAAATTACAATTTTGAAATTCATTTGAAACCTATTTTAAATAACACAAAGTTAAGCTACATTTCTTAATTCAATAACACTAAAATAAAATGGTATAATTAGCAGCATAGTTGAGTTCTCCTTTGAAAGGATGAAATTTTCGATATCATGACTCTATTTTCAAAATCATGATGATAATGTTAAATCAGGAAGCTTCCTCTGTAACAGATGGCCATAATAGTTACAGTAGGCTACTAATAATAGTTAGAAATACCTACTAAGCAACTATCGGGCTCCGTTTCCGTCCGACTATACTCTATAAGAATGGATTGAGTAACACTATACTCTACTATATATTAGTGATTCAGATCTAATTGAAGTACTTGAAGTATATGTATGTATTTTAAATAATGGCAACTCTGACAATTTGCATTTAAATGACTATGAGAGTGTGTTAGTCGTAACGAAGAGAAAAATGAAGTCGAATGCAAAAAGGAAAACAACAGTTTTCCGGAAAATGGAAAATCTGTATTTTCGCGGAAAATAATAGCGAAACAAGCGAAGAATGTTTGCATTAAACTGACCACCCACTAACCTTGGGAAAAATCGATACTGCAACCAATACCAACAAGAATTAATAAAATTAATTTTTAACGATTGTTTAAACAATTGCAAAAACTATTAATCTCTGTTATATAAAAACTAAATAAGACAAACATTATTTTCCCATCTTCTTTCTATAGAATTTTCCTTTTATAATTAAATTAGAAAACATTCAAAATTAAAATTTTATTTTTTGCTAAACAAAGTACTTGCAATTGCGAAAATAAAATATTCTTAATTTTTTCCATTCGATTAATAATAAATTACATTGCAATTATTCACTTCACATTTAACCGCAATTATATGCACCAATATATGTGTATCTGTGTGTGTGTGTCTATGTATTTGTTTGTGTGCCCGATTGTGTGTGGGAATTTGTCTATTTTGATGGCACATATTTTTCTATAATGCCCACCGCACATTAATTTTTATTTCAATTTTTTTTCTATTTTCAATTTGTGATTTTTTCTGTATCGGAATAAAACGAAAATAAAAACTGTATGACCCATACAGCACGACCGAAGTTCACTACTACCGTTATTGGCCAACACTTGACTACGTTACACCATGCAACACTACCACAACTACTAATACTACCACGACTACTGCTGCTGTCACTGGCATTGCAACTATGCAACAACAGCAACAACTATAACTGTTGGTATTGCATTTCTTCTTCGTCATATTTAATGCGCTTGTTGTTGTTCTTTTACACCTCATGCAGCTTAACACATGTTGCAAGCCTCTAATGACCACACAAACACACGATCCCATACACTTTCGTCTGTTTTCATACATTTTCCGGTAAAGTCTCTTTCTTGTGTGTGCATCTATTTTCCATTCTCTTGATTTCCGCGTATGCGCTTTCCCAAAAATACAGGAAGTTTTTGTTTTTTGATTTCAAATACCTCCAAATTATTAAATAATAATTACAACAACAACATCAGTATCATATACTATTAATATTTAAATATATTAATTTTTGATTTATATGTATGAATTAAGATAGATTAATACCGTTTTTTTAATGTTGTACTCTACAGATTATGTTAATTAACGAACCAACAGGTTGTCGTTTTAAGTAGCAAGAGACTTCCATATTTAATAGAATTGTGTAAAGACTCGGAAATGCTTTTTCATGAAAATAATAAAGCATTCCTTGATCGAAAATTATCATACCCCAGAAAAAAAAAAGTGAGGAAAAAGAAGTAGAATTTTCACCACAAATAACATACTTGAAGTACTTCCAATTTTGGTGAAAAACCTATGAATTTTACATTAGCGTGTCATTGGAGGGATGTTGTTCATTTTTGACAACTTTGAACTACATCTAATCTTATTCATAGATGCAGTAAAAATCCGATATTTGGATGTCAAAAATAAACCACATTCTTTCAATGACACGCTTATGTAAATTTCATTGGATTTTCACCAAAATTTGATGTACTTCGAAAATGTTATTTGTAGTGACTTTTCAACATCTCTTTCCTCACTTTTAACTCGGTTTTTATTTGTAAGGAAATATTTGGTTTATAGAAGCGAAAAATATGCAATCGCATTTTTAGATGTGATTAAGATGTCGTTTGTAAAGTATGACATCAATTATTTTTTGCTGGGACCCTTTCAAATCAGTCTATTTAAAATCGTTTGTCATTGCCAATCTTTCGTCGAAATTAGATCCAAATATCTTGGACGTGATATCATTCCGAACATTACATCCCTCACGAAAACTAATTGGAAAGTTCTTAGGAATAATAACCAGAAAACCGATTTTCTGAACATCGGACATGTTTTCACCAAGAAAACATTTCTAAGAAAAGGAGCGAACAACAGTCCCAAAAGTGGTCAGGTGTCTTCGAATTTGATGTAGTTTAAATCAAGGTCCAAAAAATTTCGGGTATGTATTGGGTAGTATTCTTTTCGAACCTGTAGATGTACCCCTTGGCCGCTATTAGGTCTGTTGAGCTCAATTACATGGAAAATAATGACGGTTATGTGAAAGAACTTATTATCGTAAGATTTTTATAAACTACATTTCCTTTTGTTTCTTAGATTTTCCAACCTGTATTCTGAGGAATTTAACATCTGGAATAACATTACTCCTACTATAAAAAGATAAAATTTCAACGATATCCTGCGTTTCACTGTCCTCTCCTCATGCTCTACATTTGTCTGAATCCTTCGTCCAATATCGTCGAGTGTATTAGAAATCGGACTTACTTATTCTTGTCCTCCTCTCGTTGGTGTCACCCCATACCAAATTTGTTGTCCTACCTCCCGTTCTATTATTCTAAGTGGCCATATGGGATTCTATCGCCAATGTTTTTAATTCAGCCCTTGTTGCATCGAACGGCTTTGCATTCGTCAGGTTAACTCGTTAAGTTCCCTTTATAGTAGTATATTCGCTGTTTCTTTGCAAATATTCCCGAGTGGCATGGTAGCCTCATGAATCATGATACAGAGCTTACCAACTTGAAGAGCATTCGGCTATTACCTTACCTGACCTTACTAGCTAAAATCAGATAAGTTTGGATTACGTGGTCAGTTTGTAATTTAGCCAGCATTCACTGTTTGAGAACGTTTGCAATTTATTAACTTTTGTTATCAAGTTCTCGTTGTCAAATTCGGTTAACAAAACCGCCAGAGACATCAGACGAACGCGCAGTTTTATCTTTTTACACTTTTTTCGTTCGGCCAGTAAGCTAGTGTTAGAAGTGACCTACATCTAACGCAAAATCTTTGGTAATTAGGTCGATTTGTGTCTTGTAGTCATGAAAATTTGGCACAGCGTATCGGAATAATAATCATTTCTAAAACTAATCCACAAGCCCTTTTAACTGCCAAAAACAAAATGCTTCATTCTTAATGAATAACCATATAGTAAATTACTAAATTTCTGTGTAAAGAGAATATTTTACAGGAGCTAGTGGTAGATTACAGTTCCGTATTTTCCAAAGAAATAACTATACTTTGAGAAACTGAGAGAAAAAAGTGTAGATTTAACCGATAAAATTCTCAAACCGAGCGTCTGTTCTAATGGTATTTTAATTTTAAATATTCTATCAAATATAATATATAAACTCGTTATATAACTAGTTCAAAAACCAATGCACACAGAACCAATTCAGAATCTTGAATCGAAAACTTAGAACTAGTAACTTTGCCATTACATACTTGTCTGAAATAATGTTGTGATTATAAAGTATGCTTTCCTAAAGATTATTCACTAGCACAATATAACAAATAGTTTTTAATCGCGGAATATTTAAATATAAATTTCAAAGCAATTTTTGTAATTATTTTTCAATTGATATCACTTATTATATAAAATAATTAGTTGAATTTTATTTTCATATTTTTCAATATGCATTGCCCATTTATCTGAATCGAATAAATGATAAAATACCTTCAACTGGTTCTCATCTAATCTTTAAAATTTCAGACAAAAATCACTGTTCCTAAAATGGTGCACTTGGACTAAAAATCTTCTATAGACCTAGTTCCGAGGATGATAATTTCAAAAAATATGGAACGACTTTCGACTCTGCAACACTTCCACACACCTATTTTAAAAGTTGATGTTGAATGAGTTTAGGATATATGTATGCTTGCGTTGTGGAACTACTTGATAAATTATAAATATAGGTCCTCCTCTTTAACATGGTAATATTTTTAGATTTTATGTATGGTTATATTGTTAATTTTTATGAAAACAGAAAATTTCCTAAATATAGTATATATATATTGATTAAATCTATCATATTGTTGGAATAACATCTTCTGCAGCATCATGATCATTTTCCTTTATTGGTGCTGAGAATTCTCCACCGGATTGCTCGTCGTCTACAGTAGAAACTGCGTTTTCCTTAGGCGATTGTAAGTTGTCTTCTTCAGCCTGTTGATTTGTATCTTCATCTGCAACATGAATTGCATTTTCTTCTGGTTTGGTTGATTGAAGTGATTCCATTTCAGGCATTTCATTAGCCTCCATATGTTCAGTTGTTGGAACATCTAATGCTACAAAATTATCTTTGTCAGCTCCATCCTTAAAATCTTCATCTACAATTTTATCTTCTTCTATTTCATTAACAACTACACCAACTGTATGTTCTTCTGTTATCCAATCTTCTAAAGCACCTTCTTGTTCCGATTTTAATGTAGAACTGCTAGACGATTCTTGCACCTTCAAAGACGCTGTTCGAGCTTTAATTATTGCTGTAAATGGCTGTTCAAAAGTCTGTTGTATACAATCAGCATCACTATCAAATGCCGAACAGGACACACAAGAACTTGTCGTAACATTAAGTGAGCTACAATCTCTACTAATGTCTAAATCGGATGACAGAGACCCTTTTCTCTCTACCTTTTCATGTTTAAAGCAAGTGATTTTAGTTTGTTGAGCAGTATCTTGTGCATTTAGATTTAAATTGTGACAACATTGATTGGAAATGTGTGGTAAAGTTGTATTTGTCGAAATTAAAGATTCCGCTAATTTCTCTTTCCAACTTTTGTGTGGATCTTTTGCGGAATTAGTTACAATATCATATAGTGTATTTATTGTAGACTCAACAAGAGGATTGTTATCACAGAATTTAATTTGTTCTGGACAGTAAATGGGTTCGTGAATGTCTGAGAAATAAAGAAATTATTTTCGAATCCGATATCTATAATTAAAAAACTTACAATTGGGAAAAATATAACTAATTTCTCTTCGAACGTTGGCAAGACATTTGGTAACATGGATATTTTGTTCCATTTCTGTTGAAGTATTACTGTAAAAAATATTAACAATTTGAAAGGTCAATATGTCTGTTTATATCTTGAGTCAAAAATTGGTCGCAGGGTCAAATTAAATAAGTTGTAAATTTCCTTAAATAGACTCTGTGATCTAACTCTCATTTCCTTATGAGTTTCGGCGCATTTTCAAAGCTATCAGCTCCCCTCAAATTCAGGGTTATAAGCGGTTTTAATGCAGTTGTTTATTCCAGGCATGAAATGAGATGTTGCGTTGTTTACGAACACACTCTTCAGATAACAAATTGAGCCAAAATTAAGAGAAAAGGCTGGAGGAGGGAGAGGCAGGACTAATAGAAGTATTAATGAAAGCAAAGTAAGGATCGACACTTCTGCTTTCAGACACAACGCGCAATCTAAGGAAGGATAATGGACAGTTCATTGAAATTTATGTCAGGATTATGGAACATAAAGAACAGGTGAGAGAACCGGATGTGGATGGTTTTCTGCGACTATCTTCGAACACCAATCAGAAGATGGCTCTGTACTCTGATGGAGCATAACATCAGCGTGACATCTGCTCTGCTTAGACAGCAGTGGTGTCGCCTCCTACTAACGAGAACAGTAGAACCAAAAGGGCCGATCGGAATAAGGCTTTTCACATGGTGCTAAAGTTTCCAATTTTAATCGGCTAAGAGCTATTGTGAACACCAGGCGAAGAAAGTAGGATAGAGCAAGAAATCTCTGGCCTATGATTAAACAGAGATATCAAGAGTCATTTACCGCAAAGGAAAGAAGTACACAAGCAGTATGTCGTTAGAGTTATTTAGGGAAAGTCTTCTTCTGGGGATTTGTAGGTGGGTGTTGCGGTGCAACAGTTAAACGCTTGTTCCACAAATATTCTTAATTGATAAGGTATGTTTGGTATTGAACATTTTGTAAAGTTCAGTTTATAATTGTCCTAAGGCCCCATAAGATTTCTTCCGAAATGCTCTCCACGTTCAATATAATATCGATATGTATAAGATAAATGTAAGTAAATGGATCGATATATAGGTCCGCCTTTCAAAATTCACTCTTAATTTACTACTGCTTTGATGGTGGGTATAAACTTCGTCATAGCCGAATATAACTCAATATTTTAATAACTTTTCAAAACCCAAAATTGTTTTTATATCGAAAAATATCGCTTTACTCTTAATCTGAAGAAGTAAACAAGCAAAAATTTTACTTTCTCTGGAAATATATTTTTATAACAGTGTCGAATTGGCTTTTGTGTTTCGATTCTATCTTTCAACACTACTTTTAAAATATTATGAAAATCTTACTTACAAATAACACACCATATCATTGATTAAATCCTCTACCGCACATTCTTTAGCTAAAATAAAAGCTTCCGAATTTCCTTTCGACAATAAGATCACTTGAATCATAAAACCGCGATCTTCAGCCAGATCTTGATAAAATTCAGCAGCCAATTCCGGCGAGAAGCATATTTTACGTTGACCCTTTATAAAGAATCCTTGTTGCAACAAATGTAATAGAAGAGCTTTACGTTTTGCCAAATAATCAGGTTTAATAATTAACAATGTGTCCTGGAACATGATATTCTTTTTATTTTTTTTTTTTTTCATAATTTTTTTATTTTATTTAAAATATTTTTCACACAGTATCTTAGTTAACTAGAAAAAATAAAATACAAGTGTTTGCAGAACTAAAACTATAAGGATTTGAATAAAAGAAGAAGAAAAATAAAAGAAACGCATTTAATGTGATTGAAGATCAACTAACAAACAGTTTTATAAAAATATTATTTAGAATATAAAGATTATAATTTGTATTATTACATCGATATTCATTCCCATTTTCAACTTGTATTTTTTATTTATTAATTTAAATCTTGTGATATTTTGATATATTTTTTGTTTTTGGTAATGTTTGTAATTACATAATTCAAAGGCTTTTTTTCGTGTTTTAAGTATTTGTTTTTTCTTTCAAATAGATGAAAGTGTATAAAAAAGAAATTAATATTTATCAATACGCATCACAATAAAATTAAGAGAATTCACCCGCCTTTTCTTATATCTCCTATTAAAACTCACTTCACAATCACTCTACTCCTTCGATGTTTAAAAATTTATGATTGAAATTAAACTGCAATTAAATAAAACGAAAGCATTATTAATATTGAAATATTAATGTTAAAGTAAAATAAATACCTGAAATTCTGGCAAAAGCCAAATTAGATTTTTCATTTTCGAAACATTTGCCAATATCGCTACAAATGTGAGACTCGTCTACAACAATGCGTTCGGACAAATGCATAATACTCTTGCCATATATGCGTATCATTTCAGAGCACTAGAAATAAAGAAAAAATCAAATTATGAAAAATATATACTAAATCCTTAACAAAAAACCACTTACAATTTGATAATATTTAGCAGGCAAATTATCACAACCCACATCTATCATATCAATGGCACCAATTGTATCGTGTTCGGTGTGTTTTCTTAAATAAGGTAACAAGGCCATTGTAGCTCCATGGCAAACACCACATTCAATAACTTCATCTAAAGGAACAAATATTTTTTAAGTAAATATTTTTTATTTTTGTACTCATTTTACTCACCATTAATCACTTCACTTAAACCAGCAAAGCATAATTGCAATTTCTGACAAATTTCCTTGGGTGGTACACTGCCTACCAAAGTTATAATGGCATTGGCATATTGTTCCACAAACTTGTCACAACTTTTAGCCACTGTCTTGGGCATGTGATTACAAATGTTCTTTATGGTACGTTTAATTTCTTCTTGTTCGGTTTTATTTTTCAATTCCATTTCCATTTTAGTCATTACAAATTCGCACAAAACACAGGTGGGTGGTTCCTGTAGGGTCATGGCTTCATCAATACCCACAAAACGATCATTTTTAATCCATACGGCATTATCGTTTGGCATAGCAATGACATCGTATTTCAAAGCTTCATCAATTTCCACTGCAATTTGTAAATTGGTTTGAAAATATATTCACTTTATAATAATTTCCAAATCTTTCTACTTACAATCTTCTTGTTCGCTGAATAGACACAAGCCTAATTCAGCACAAATCAATTTGGGTTCCATTTCTTTCAATAGTAATTCGGCAATTTTATCACCGTATTTATCAACATATTGATGACATTTTGGCTGCAAATTTTTGCGTAATTTAAGGCATGATTGTTCTAAAGCTTTCTTGATGTCGTCCTGCAAAAATCATAAGAAACATTAGTGATTACATAGTAGAAAATAAAAGGTTTTTTCTTATAATTTTACAGCACAACTTAAGGAAAAACAAAGTTAACGGTATACACAAAACAAACTAAATAAAACGTATAACAAACGCTGGATCGCCAAATATCTTTATGGCAGACAAGCGTTTATCGAATTCATAAATTCATGATTAAATAGACGTGCCACGTGCCACAATCTATATCTTGCTAATCTTCATGAATCATGACTCTATGTCGGTCAAAATTCGTATTATTTCGACGGTACAAAGACAGAAAATTTTTGGGGAAATATTTTACAACCTCTTTCATTTCTCAGCTAGGGCAATTAAAAGGTTACAAATAGAAATAAGTTCCTTATGGGGATCGTGGGTTCGATTCCGCTTAAAAACTTTGATCTGTTTCTACTACGACAGTCATCGTTTATAAAAATTTATATTTTAAACAGATAAGAAAAGAATAATAAAAACGCCCCTAATACTCACTTTGGTGGTATGTTTGTTTAAACGTTTCTCAGCCAATTTTACAATTTCGATGCATAAAATACAATTTGGTGAACTGCCCTCGTTATGTTGTTGGAATACAATTTCAACAGGCATTTCTTCTTCGCTATCGCCGATTTCGTTAAAAGCTAAAGAGAAATAAAATCAACAATTAAACTCTGCCAAGAAATATAATACAAAAAAAAAATAACACAAACCTAAATCTTCGACTTCATCGCTTTCATTTTCTAAACTAATACCCATATCATCTAAATAGTTTTTGGACTTGGGGCACAGTTTCAAAGCCACACAAATTTCTTGAGCTTTGAAGTCGGTTATCAACATATCGATTAATTCGGATGAATAGGTTTGGACAAAGTCCACACATTCGGTTTGTAGTTTTTGTGGTAAATGATTGCATAAGTGACTCAAAACGTTTTCAATATTTTTCTGGAATATAACAAAAATGTAAAAAAATTAAGAAATAGAAATTTTAATTGTTATTAAATACCTTTGATTTATCATTTTTGATTTTTTCCTGGGCCTGTTCGACGGCAAACAAACATAAGGGACAGGTGGGTTTATCTTGTTCATCAGATGGTTGAGGATCAAATACTTCCATATCGTTATGATTTTCATGGTTAGGAGGACACATTTGCATTTTTGGGCAAACTTCACGAGGATCTAAACCTTGAATCAAAAGAGCAATAACCGCATCACCATACATATCAATGAAATTGTGACATTGACCCTTAACACTGTTGGGGAATTTATCGCAAATATTATTGACAGCACGTTTGATTTCATCTTCAGTTGAGGGTGTAGCCAAGGATTCTTGAATGAAATGCAACAAATATTCACAAATAGTGCAAAGTTCGCCACCTTCTACAAGCTGTCCCGGATTAGCAGCACCCATTAGATGGTCAATGGGCAATGTCATGGCTTTGAGATCTTCTTGTGTAAATTTAGGTTCATTTGCACCCAACTTCTTGCGTATGGTTACTTTGATTTCAGCTGGTGGAAGTACAGGCAAAAGTGGCATAATATCACCTTTGAACATGGTATCCGAACCCTTGGGACACACACCAATTAGGAAGCAAGCGCCATTGGCATCCAAATTATTAACCAAACTTTGATAAATCAAGTCATAATATTGATCGACAATACTCAAACATTCGGTACGGAAACCTTTGGTTTGGTTGCACAAACCTTCCATCACTTGTTTGAATTCGGTCTCTGTGGTATTGGCCACTAAAACATCACGCAAATGACGAACCAATTGTTGACACAACTCGCAAGGTATATCATCATTACCGGCTGCCATTAAATCAACAGGTTCTTCCTCTTTAGGATCTTCGGGATGTTGATGATATTTAGCAGCACATACACCAGAAATATGACACACACCAGCTGGCTGTAGATTTTCCTTAATATGATCGTAAATATCATTGAAATAGGTGAGAGCAATATTGGCACAAGCATCCGAAAATGAAGACATTTCACCACACATATGAAGAATATTCTCTAGAACATCATCACGATTGGTTGACTGGAATTTGTTGGTCATTAAGGTGGCCATGTTGTAACAATTGCCACAGCTTAAGAGAGGCTTTTTGGGAGCTTCAACCGACACTTGTTTTGCATGTGTGGGTACAATAATTTCCTCATCACTAACATCGTCTTCCTCCTTAAGGGTACCAGCCAAGGCGGAAGCATAGTGTTTGGATAGTAATCTATCGATTTCAGCATTGTTACAAAGACCAGCAACGGAACAAACTTGCTAAAATGTGTTAACAAATTAAAAGAATTTTTGTGATTAAAAATTAACTTATAGGTCAACATTTGCAGTCTATTAAAACTTACATCGGGATTCATTTGTGATGACAAAGCCTCCACCAATTCGGGTATAAAATTATCAGCCAATTTGCAGCATTCCTTTTTCACAACCTTAATTGGAATAAGATTGCAGGAACCCTCAAATACTTCTTTCAATTCTTCCATAGTTTCATTGCTGCGCAATTGATCGCGGGCCTGGGTGACCATATCTTTGCAAATTTGACAAATCGAATCATTATCAACGGGCACTTGATGATTTTCCCAAACGGTTTGTATGCAATGACGAACAGCATTACAACCTTTAGCATTGCTGTAAAATATGTAAGAAAAATATAAAGAGTATAAAATATGCTTTTGTTATTAAAACTAAAATTAGAATTATAAAAATAAAAATATATTTTACAAAGAAGGTAAAACAATTAATATAAATGGACGATAAGATTAATAAAACAAAAGTAAAACAAGTATAAATACAAATAATGATTAGATAAAAATTTGTTTTTTATTTTAAAAGAAAACAACAAAGAAAGTTTTTTGTTAGCTAAAAAAGTAAACATTTTATTAAAAGCAAAATTGATTTGATAAATTGATAGGAATTTGCAACAATCCAAAAATGCGTATTTATCTAAATCTAGAGTAAATAAAAACTTTTTCATTTATAACCATTTATTGTTTTGTTAACAGAGAAAATATAACAATTGAATAAAATTGTTGAAAAGTTCCAATTCATAATATGTATTAGAAATTATCCTTAAGAATAAAAAACTTGGAAGTTTTCTAGACTTGATATGATGAAAGAGTGGGCTCAAGACCCAAAAAGCAAAAAATACAATTTTGCAACAATCGCAAGGCATGAAAAAACTAAATACATACATTTATATAATTTGGATCCTTCAAAGTTGAAGACTTTCAAAATTTCTTACTTTGCAACAATCTGGATGACTTTGAAATACAAAATCATTTTTGCAATGAAAAATTTTAGAATTTTGAAACCGCACTAATTCAAATTCGCATAAAATAAATTCGCATAAAACGAGGTTTGAGTGTATATCGAATACAAGGTTAAGTCATTTCATTTTGGCTCGAAAT